TGGGATCTTGGGCACGCATGCACACACGCCCGGCGTGAGTTTTAAGCCACCGGGTCTGGGACGTGAACCGCGATCGACTACGTGGGAGTCCAACATAGCCATTACGCTAACTGCTGGTTCCCAGATAGAACTCTTTTAAATACTAGAGAGAACATATTCAATGCATTAATTTAACCACTTTGGAAGATTAGATTCCAACTTGTATCCTTTAGCTGTTCCACTTATAGATATGCCAAAATATACAGAAGATTATTTGTAGTTTATATTCACCCACCCCTAAAAGACTGGAAACAACCTAAATGTCTGTTGAAAGAAAATAAATACATAAATTATGGCATAGTCTCCTGATGGAATAATATGCAACAGTGCAGATAAGAGAACTACGGATACATGTGACAACATGGATAAAGTTTTAGGAATGTCATATAGAATGGAAAATGCAAGTTGTATAAAATCACATTATAATAACATTCGTAAAAAAAGCTCAAAAATAGGGGCCAGCAGAAGGCATTGGACGGTTGAGGCACTGGACTCCCACATGGCTGCAGTTTGAGTCCTAGACCTGATGACTTGCTTTTTCACCGTTTTTCCCTTTCTCTGTCTGGTGAGTACACATGCTTTATAGCAAATTGAAAAAAAAAATTAATAACAATAAATACAATTACATAAATAATTCTTTTTTAAAAAGAGCTGAGAAATAAGCAAAACTAAACATATGTTTAGGAACTATAAATAATTTTTTTAATTGCCAGAAAGAGTATCCTGTGCCAACGGAACATGGTCAAGCCATAAACCTTCCTCTTCCATTTCTCCATCCTTTCAGGATTTGGGCATGCATGCACATGTACCTGGCATATTTTTTCAAGTTGCTGGGGCTGGGATTCGAACTGTGATTGGCCATATGGGATCTGGCTCCCTTAACTACTAAGCCTCAGGCTGGCCCAATAAATTATTTTTCATAAAGCAAAGGAATAGCAACCAAAATGTACTTTAGTAGTTATTCATGGGTGTGGGAGAAGACAAAAAATGTGGTAGAGAAAGACTACATATATTGATGTGTTAGTATTCTTTTTTTGGAGAGGTTTTTGCTATAGGGCACGTGCGCTTGCCAGAAAGACAGAGAGAGACAGAGGGGCAGAAAGTGAGAAATCACTTCCCAGGGGGGATGGCCACGCCGCAATCCCTTCTCCTCCATTCTCCTTTCCAGATCTTAGGCATGCATGCACGCACACACACCCGGCGTGAGTTTAAGCCTCTGGGTCTAGGACTCAAACTGCGGTCGACTATGTCCAGTGACATAGCCATTAAGCCAACTACTGGTCCCAGTATTTTAGTTTTTTTTTTTTTTTAATATAAATACCATACGCTTTTTAATATTATGGTAAAATGCATATAACACAATATTCACTATCTTAACTCTTTTGAAGTGTTTAACTCAGTGGCATGAATACATTCACTTGGTTGTGCAATGTATTAGATGTCTTAGAAAAGCTGTCATGGGCTGTCTATTTCTAGAACTTTTTATCTTGCAAAACTGAAACTCTGTTGCCAATAAACAGTAACTCTCCCCCTCTCCTGAGACCCTAGCAACCACCATTCTTTCCTTCTTTCCTCTTTCCTTTTTCTTCTAGAGGACCCTTGCACTTGGCAGAGAGACACAGAGAGGGAGAGAAGAAAGCATTCCCCCATGGGGAATGGTGACACTGTGATTCCTTCTCCTTTGTTTCTCCCTCCCATTGGGATTTTGAGCATGCATGCACATGTGCCCAGCATGTTTCTCAAGTCATCAAGTGCAGGACTCAAACAGTGTGACTGGCCGTGTGGGATCCAGCTGCCTTAACCACAGACCATAGAGCTGGCCTTCTGTTTTCTCTCTCTATGCATTTGAGTATTAGTTTAGTTTAAGTTGAGGGATTGTCATGAGTGTTTATTTTGTTATCATGCTTCAACTTGCACACACACACACACACACACACACACACACAAATTGCCTTATATGTATAAAATATTGCATACCTCATTTTTAAAATGACTTGATGGGGGCTGGTAGGTGGTATGATGGTTAGGGCACTAGACTCCCAGATGGCTGACCATGATTCAAGTCCTGGACCTGGCAACTTGATTTCTCACTTTTCCTCTTAGTCTCTCTCTCTCTCTGATTAAAACAAAAATAATAATAGGGACCAGTAGATGGTGTAACGATTACATCGCTGGACTCACACATGGCCAACCACAGTTCAAGACCCAGACTAGGTGGCTTGAAACTTTTGTTGGGAATGTGCATGTGTGCCCAAAATCCTGAGAAGAGAATGGAGAAGGGATTGCGGTGTGGCCACATCCCCCAGGAGGGGGGGGGGATGATTTCTCACTTGCTGCATCTCTGGCAAGCACATGTGCCCTATAGCAAAAAATCTCTCTAAAAAAAAATTAAGTAGTTCTGTAAACATTTTTAAGAAATAAAATGAGTTGACGCATGGAAAAAATGGCAACATTTAAAATTGGCTAGAATATGGCAAGAGCTAGCAAGCATTTAGGTTGACGCAATTTTAATGGCATTTAAAAATAAACACACAACAAAACTGACAAAAATATTATGGCATTTTAGAGCAACTGTGTTTTTAATTCCAGTTTCTGCTCTTTGCTAGGATGTAGAAGTACGATTAATTTTTGTGTGTTGACCTCATATCCTTGCTAAATTAATTTATTAGTTCTAGAAGTTAGTGTTGTTAATTCTTTGGAACTTTCTAGGTTGATAATCATGTTTTTTGTGAATTACACTTTTGTTTCCATTCTGTATGCTTTTAATGTCTCCTTCTTGTCTTAGTACAATGACTAAGGACTTTGCATATAAAGTTAAATAGGATGGTGAGAGTAGACATCCTTACCTTGTTCCTAATCTTGAGGAGAAAGCAGTCTTTCACCATGAAATATGCTTTTAGTTATAAGATTTTTAGATATCTTGTATTAAGATGAGACAGTTGTCTTCTATGCCTGTTTTTCTGCGTTTTTATAATGAATGGATGTTGAATTTTGCCAAATGTTTCCTCTTGCATTGATATTCATGCAGTTTTACTTCTTAGATTGTTAATATGGTCTACTACGTTGATTGATTTTTCAATTATGGAATTATGCATCTTGGGTTTAAAGTCTACTTCTTAATTATCATTACTCTTCTAGGTATTGCTATTTTTTTTTTAAAGAGTTTGCTATAAGGCACTTGTGCTCACTGAAGACAGAGAGCAAGAGACAGACAGAGGGCAAGTGAGAAGTCATCCTCTGGGGGGGATGGCCACGACACAATCTCTTCTCCTCCATTCTCCTCTAGGGATTTTGGGCACACATGTACACTCGCCTGGCATGTATTTCAACCCTCTGGGTCCAAGACTTGAACTACTCAGTTGGCCATGTGGGATCCAGCCACCTTAACCTCCATGCCACCAGCTGGCTCAGTATTCCAGGATTCTATTTGTTAATAATTCGTTGAGGATTTTTGCATATGTTCATGAGAGTATTGGTTTGTAGTGTCATTTTCTTATACTATCTTTGTCTGATTTTGGTATTGATAAAATATTTTTGGAGGGACATTGACCAGTTTTAAGTCTTTAAAGTGTATCTGCCTGAGGATTTCACTTTGAATAATTTCTCAGGAAATAGAGATTTCTATTACACACAGACTTTGGGTTCACATAGACCTATCGCGCAGAGCTGTAATTAGATAGGACTATTCACAGACACCCAGAGATCAGGCCTCTTATCACACCTGATAAGCATCATATAAATGGCAGCTCTGGGCTTGTGTTATACTCTCTCTAACCTCTGTGAAGAGGACATCTGTTGGGACCAGCAGTCGCGCCCAAGATCCCGACAGGAGAATGGAGGAGAAGGGATTGTGGCGTGGCCAT